ACTTATCTACTTATTTTGTGCAGATGTAAGTATGAGGAGGGCAATGTGTGTGCCATGGCGCATGTGGAGGTTAGACCACAACTTTCAGGAGTCCATTCTCTCCTTTAGTTTGGGTTCCAAGAATCGAACCTAGGTCATCAGGCTTGGGCAGCAAGTGATTTTATCCAATGAACCATCTCATTGGTCCTGTTTGAATAATTATTATTTTTTGACTTATGTACATCTGTGTGTATGTGCACCTGAGTGCAGGTGCCATTAAAGGTCAGAAGAGAGCATCAAATCCCCTGAAGCTGGAGTTACAAGTAGTTATGAGCCGGCCTACATGATGCTGGGAACTGAACTCAGGTTCCTTGAAAGAGCAACAAGCACTCTTTTTTTTTTTTTTTTCTGACCTTGAGCTCACAGAGATCGGCCTGCCTCTGCCTCCTGAATGTTGGGATTAAAGGCCTGCACCACCACTCAACAAGCACTCAACCACTGAGCTATCTCCCAGCTCCCTGCTGTAGTAATTAATAACTACGATTCTTTCGTTTTCTTTTTTTTTTTGGTTTTTTCGAGACAGGGTTTCTCTGTGTAGCTTTGCGCCTTTCCTGGATCTCGCTCTGGAGACCAGGCTGGCCTCGAACTCACAGAGATCCGCCTGCCTCTGCCTCCCGAGTGCTGGGATTAAAGGTGTGCGCCACCACCGCCCGGCTGATGCTGATTCTTTCGTTTTCTGAAATAACTCTAAAGAAGGCATGGGAAAAGCTGACCCTCTGCAGTCATGACCGCATCCAGAGGCCAGTATTGGGAGGGAAGCATGGTGAGGAATTAAACACCAGCTGAGTCAAGCTGGTTTCTTACTTTGACTTCCCTCATTGAGATCACAGGGCAGAAGGGATATCCTTTCATGCTCTTCCTCTCTCTTCCCATGATGCTAAACAGAATAATGGGCACATGGGAAAGGCACACCACAAATACCAATGGAGTAGAGTAAATCAACTGGCCATCTAAGCACCAAGGCAAGATGGCAGAAACAACGCTAAAAATCACTGTTCGTATTATTCTCTTTTCGTCACTATTTTTGGAGTCTTTAAACATTTTTGTTTAGAGGTCCAAAACTATGACCAAAAGCAACAGCGTCATTCCAGTGAAACACCATGGGCTACTGAGAATGCAGACTGCCAGTCCTGGGGACAGGACCGGCTAGATGGCCTTGAGAACCCAGATACTTAGCTGTCCTGTTTCTTAAAAGGTAAAACAAAACAAATTAGGCTGGGCAGTGGTGGCACACACCTTTAATCCCAGCACTCGGGAGGCAGAGCCAGGCAGAGCTGAGTTGGAGGACAGCCAGGTGTACAGAGTGAGTTCCAGGACAACCAGGGCTACACAGGGAAACCTTGTCTCAAAAAGCCAAAACCACAACACAACAACAACAAACAACAAGTTAGGTGCTCTCCAAAGTCCTCCTTAGTTCCTTTCCAAGCCTAAGGACTGGAAGTGAAGCGCAGTGGTGGACTGTTAGTCCAGCAGGTACTGGGTTTTACCCCTACTACTACAGAAACAAAAACCAACACACAGCTGGGCGGTGGCAGCACATGCCTTTGATCCCAGCATCTGGGAGGCAGAGGTAGGCAGATCTCTGAGTTTGAGGTCAGCCTGGTCTACAGAGTGAGTTCTAGGACAGCCAGAGCTACACAGAGAAACCTTGTCTTGAAAAACCAACCAAACAACAAAACAAACAAAAAATTCAACACACACATACCCTAGTTAAATCAGACTGTACCCAAATCAAAGTCTCTGACCTGCTATTATAATATACATCTCCATGAAAGCATAAAAAAATTCCTATCATCTTCAGAGTCACTTAAATTATAAAGCAGTCTAGCCTACACAAGAAAAAAAATCCTATTTTTTTTTATTTAATCAATGACATAAAGAACGATACTCCTGGGGCTGGGAAGATAGTTCATTGGGTAAATTCCTTGCTGTGCAAGATAAAGACCCAAGTTCAGCTCTCCAGCACCCATATAAAGAAGTGGGGCATGGCAGCAGGCACCTGTAACCCTAGTCAGTACTGGTGAGGGCAGAGACAGCAGATCCCTACAGCCCACTAGCCAATCTAGCCAAGCAGGGAGCACTAGCTTCACTGAGACACCCTGTCTCCAAAAATAAGGTGAAGAGCAATGGAGGAAGACATCCCATACTGTCCTTTGGTGTCTACACGTGCACGCACAGGAGCATGTACTGTCACACACATGCATCTATAACACACAACACACTGTAGTCTTACCTGTGTCTGTAAATCACTTGTACACACAAATTCTAATATCTGGAACATTTTATGAACACATATCAAATCATCTGGCTTATTGTTTCTAATGCAATACAAACAGTATACAAGATGGGAGAAGGGCCACAGCTGTGAAACTCAAGACCAGCATATTCTAGCAACCTTTCCTCATAAATACTAAAACTTAGCAATTCTTTGCTATTCTATACACTGGGATCTAGTCTCAATACACATTGTAATACTTCTTACAATAAAATCTTGTCTGCACTATAGAGACCTCCAGACTGCATTATGATTTAGTGTGGCAGTGGTATGTTTGTGGGTGCAGTGGGAGTGACACTGACCTGGTAATTGGTGGCTGCACTCGGAGTCCTCCGGTACAAAGTCTTAGAGGTTTCCTTCAGTGAAAGTTTGAGAAAATTGACAGGTATCTAAAACGTCGTCAGCATGGTGGAAAAGCGTCCAACACTGCAAAACAAGAAGAAATTCATTGTCCTTGTGACCACACTGTGAACAAAGTGATGCGCACCATTAGTGCCAACTAGGACCACAGCTGGTAAGGCCTGATAGCGGTAGGCTGTTAACGACAAGAGTATGGCCAGTCCCTCCGGCTGAAGCTGAATAATACATGAAGCGCTAGGGCTCTGACTTCCCTTGTGCAAGGGTAATTAGGGAGGGTGGGAGGTGCTGACCCCCCCCTTTCTTTTAAGACACGGGGGGAGCTGCTGACTGCCCCCCTTTCTTTTAAGATAGGGGCTTGCTACAGAGCCTAGGGCAGCCTCAAACTCAAATGATCCTCTTGCCTCAGCCTCCGAGATCCTGAAATCTCTTCTGACATCCAGTGCCATTTCAAGGACTAACTTCTCAAGGGCACTGGGCACTCAATTTCCCTGAACTGACAGGTCTGTCAGCATCAGACTCATGCACAATGCCACAATTCACTCAGAACATAATCACAACCAAAATGTTCCACTGCCAAATCTGCGTAAGGAAACATCTCATCTCACTTCCTGATAACCAAAGAAATCTGTGACCATTTCCACTGTTTAAAAGGATGACCAAATACCGCCAACTTCTATTTTCCCACCATGTCTCCACATTAAATGCTGACTTATAAACAAATGTTTTTGCTTATAGTTCCCCAATTAATCTATAGTTAAAACACACACACACACACACACACACACACACACACACACACAATATGAAAGTGAAACTGAAAAGGAAAAAAAGGGGGGCACCAGGAAAAGAGTGGGGCAAGAAAAGGGAGGGTAGGAGGACTGGGGGTAGGGATGTGGGGGGGTGGGATGCGGGGTCAGGGGGTAGGGATGGGGGGCCAGGGGTAGGGATGGGGGATAGGGGGTAGGGATGCGGGGTCGGGGGTAGAGATGGGGGGTCCAGGATAGGGATGGGGGGACAGGGTGGTGGGTCCAGGGTAGGGAAGGGGGTTGAGGGGGCAGGGATGGGGGGTCCAGGGTAGGGATGGGGGTCGGGGAGTTAGGCTCAACATAACAATATATACAAGTATGAAAACCTTTTTTCAGTTGATTCCAAGTTATTTACTGAGCCAACAGTTAAAACCTGAACCTTCCCATTTAGGAGAGGAAGTGTGGGTCCATCACACAGTCAAGAGTGGAGGACCAACACCATGCAGGCAAACCACTAAGTAAGGCATTCCAGCAATCTCTGCCAGCATACGGGCAGAATTATACAGCCAAGGTTTTCAAAGAGGGTTTTCTTAAGCCACACTCATTACCAGAACCATCCCTGCCAGGTTTGGGTATGCCAAGCCATACTGCAGGCGACCGACTCCTCCTTTCAAGTGAGCTGTTACTTGTCACTGACACCATCCAGTAAGTGACTCTGAAAGACAGGATCATTCCAACCAGATGCCAGCTTACTCTTTCCAGTAGAATCCTCCGAGACCCAGTCTGCCCCAGAGTTTACACCCAGACACTCTGTCTAGGGAATGCTACAGTCTATAAATCTGAAAGAAAAACCACTTGTGGACAAGTTGTCGGGATGTATTCTCACTGCCAGCTGACAGTGTATTAAACTTCAGAGTTTTCTTAATAAAAACACATATAAACACATACAATAAAAATGTTACAAGTATTTCAATGCCCTGGAAAAATAGGCCCGCTTAGGCTAAGCATGAACGTTTTTTACATTACGGTATGCGATTTCAAACAAGCTTGCTCAGCATTTAGTCTGTCACAGGCCCCTTGCCCCTTCCCCAGAGCTAACAGCAAGAGACTGTGAGTGTTCACTAACCGAACTCCTCTTTTTTCGCTTTTTATCCTTTTGTCTGTCTTCTGAGGCAGTCTTACTATGTAACCCTGGCTGGCCTGGAACTCACTATACAGAGGAAGCTAGTCTTGAACTCAACAGATCTATCTGCCTCTGCCTCCCAAGTGCATGCAGCCCTCTTTTTCCTTTTTGAAACAGGCTGGCTTTGAATGTGCTCTCTTGCCTCAACTCTTCAAGTAGTGAGATTAAGGTGTGTCCTACCATGTCTGGCCTAAATGTGACAACAATCAGGGGAGTTACAGGTATCAGGGAGGAAGGAGTGTATAAGCACACACGGGCTACACCCCCTCGTCCACACCCCCGGGCAGCACCTTCTTAACTGCTGATTTTGCCTGTGATCTGCTCGCTCTGTTCCCAACCTTCCCGTTCTCGTTCTGGTTCTGGTTCTGACCGCGCTTCCTGTTTCTTCTCCACGAAGCCTGTGCCCTGGAACTGAACTAACTCTGTAGGACAACAGGCCTGGCTGCCCTTTCACCAGGTGGTAGAAAAAGAAAACACCCCAAACGCTTCTACAGCCATGTAAGTAATAGGGCAGGGCAGGGCGGGGCAGGGCGGAACACAGGTAAAATGTCTGCGCCTAGTATCTGGGTGTGCTGCATGGGAAGGTTTACTTTCTAAGTAGTTAGTAATAAGGAACATGGATTAAAAAAACAAACAAATAACATTTTAGATGAGTCTTAGTTCTTGACAGGGTAACCTCAAAAATAAAACAATAGAAAAATCTAAAAAAAAAAAACAACTCAAATTTTTAAAAATTCAGTTTATATACCCGGGCATGACTGTGCATACCCATTATCCTACAAACCCAGTATATACCTGGGCATGGTTGTGCATACCCATTATCCTACAAACCCAGTATACTCCAGGGCATGGTTATGCATGCCCCTTATCCCAGCACTTGGGAGGTGGGAGGCAGGAAGATAAAAAATTCAAGGCCAGCCTGGACATAAACGCATAGTGGATTCAAGGCCTGCCTGGTTGGTTATATGAGATCTTTTCTAAAAACCCAAACCAAACCAGACCAAACCAAATGAATGAAAACCAATGTACATGAGACATTAAGAAAAAAAACACGAAACACTGTTTAAAGCTACTAAGCCTAAATACGGACACAGATGCACTGTTACAAAATGAGTCCAGAGTCCCCTTCTCAGGAGGTGGAAGTGCTGACATACTAGACTCTCTCAAAGGATTCAAATCTCTCCACCCCCGGCACTTCTGGGTTCAGAAGGGCTAGCCGTCCGTCCATCTGGGGAAAGACAGTGACAGTGCTCCAAATGGCCCCACCCTCTTTTGTCCTTTTTTTTTAGGATCCGGCCAGGGAAGGAGGCCATGTCAACAAGCTTTAACAAAATGATTTTCTGATTTGTTTTAAAAAGCAGTTTTTAGCCAAGAAAGCGAGTGCACACCTGTGTGTGACCCCAAAATTTGGGACACTAAAGCAGAGGGAGCTCAGCAGAGGCTGGCTGTACCACACAGTAATACCTAGGGGGAGTCTCTTTTTTACTACTACTATTAATCATAAAATCAAGGTACAAAATATAATTTCATTTTATAATATTAAGTAATAGTAACTTAATTAGACTATTTCCAATCCTATAATATATGTTAATGCGCTGAGTCCTCACCCCAAATTCATGTTGAATCTTTTTTTTTTTAAATTAACCACCACAATATTTGAACTGTATTTTTTTTTTCTTTTTTCTTTTCAAGACAGGGTTTCTCTGTGTAACAGTCCTGGCTGTCCTGGAACTCACTTTGAAGACCAGGCTGGCCTCGAACTCACAGAGATCCACCTGCCTCTGCCTCCCAAGTGCTGGGATTAAAGGTGTGCGCCACCACACCAATCATGTTGAATCTTAATTCCTAGCATTTCAGAACATGACTGCATCTGAAGACATTAAGGCGTGCCCCCTCCCCGCCTTTCTCTTTTGGCAGTACTGAGACCTGAACCCAGGGCCTTGAACTTGTCAGGCAAGTGCTCTACCACTGAGCTAACTCCCAGCCCCAGAGACTCTAAAGAGGCAACTAAGTTCAAATGAGGTCACCACACAACGTGCACAGAGTGAGAGACTTTGGAGTTCCCAGTCCTAAATGAGATGTCTATCAAACCTCTCCCTGCAAGGCTCAGGGATCTCTGTGAAAGAGGAGTTGGAAAGACTGTAAGAGCCGGAGGTGGGGAATGATTCCAAAGAAGCAGAGTCATCCAGACCCAACAGGACCGATAAAGAAGTAATGAAAGACTATGAGAGCACCCTCAAGACCTGCGCAGGTTCAAAGAGGACAGACTTTCAGCATGGAGAAAGGGAAGTGGACACAGGGTCCCATTCCTAACCTGTTGAGCTGTCTGCCACTGATACCTGATGGGGAAAAAGTGTATCAGTTTTCTCTAATGGAGTGTCACTGGCTATAATAGCCATACTCCAGGGCAAGTCCAGGAGTAGTTGGCCAATACAAAATGGACTTCATGGGTTTTTTTTGTGTGTGTGTATGCTTTATTTTTGTTTTGATTTTCAGAGTTTTGTTTTGTTTAGAAAGGAGAATGAACATGAAGTTGCATGGAAGGGAGGTGGGGAGGCTCTGGGAATTAGGGGAGGGGAAACAATAAGATCAAAATATATTGTATGAAAAAAAACTTAATAAAAAAAGGTCAATACAGAACCAGGTAGTGGTGGCGCACGCCTTTAATCCCAGCACTCGGGAGGCAGAGGCAGGCGGATGTCTGAGTTTGAGGCCAGCCTGGTCTACAGAGTGAGTTCTAAGACAGGCTCCAAAACTACACAGAGAAACCTTGTCTCAAAACACACACACACACACACACACACACACACACAACACACACACACACACACACAACACACACACACACACACACACACACACACACACACACACACACACACACACGGTCAATATAATCCTTACTCCATTAAGACTGGTATCCTTATGAAAGAAAATTAGAATACAGACCAGTCAGGGAAAGGTGCAAGGCCAGAAGGCAACCTGATCAGAACAGTGGTCTACTTTTAGCCAGTATGTGAGAAAACCCATTCTTTTTATTTAAACCAGTATGTGTCACCAGTCTGCGGTGACACAAGAGAACAATACACTAACCGCTTTTTGTTTGTTTGTTTCCTATGTCCTGGCTGGCCTGGAACCTGTTAATGCAGAGTAGGCTGTCTTCTAACTTGCAACAACCTTGCTGCCTCTGCTTCCCAATGCTGGGGTTACAGATGTGTGCCACTGGGCCTGGCTCACTTTCTACTCTGAAAGTGCATCGGACAACCAGATCCGAGCCTTCCTCCTACCATGTGAGCATGTACCATAGCACACCCTTTCTCAGACAGCTTTACCTTTTTTCCTGGCCATGCAATAAACAGCATTACAATAAAATGAATGGTTTGGGAAAATGTTTTAGAGATTGTACATTTCAGGACCCTCTGAATTATCCCTAAAGACTTCTGAATAACAAATGCCCTTAGGGAGAAGTCATGGTGTTGGGGAAATCAAGACATTTATTTATCTAACACTGAGGGTGTCTCTAGGGACCGAGCTTTGCAGTTATGCTAAAACACAAGGTCAGCATTAAGACACTGGCGTACTCCGTTAAGGCAGATTCAAAGACACCAGACCTTCAAGGCTTATGCTTACTATAAAAATGCTTACTATGAGCCAGATAGTAGTGGCACACACCTTTGATCCCAGCACTCAGGAGGCAGAGGCAAGAGATTCTCTGAGAGTTCGAGGCCAGCCTGGTCTACAGAGCGAATTCCAGGACAGGCTCCAAAGGTACAGAGAAACCCTGTCTCGAAAAACCAAAAAAAAAAAAAAAAAGCAAACAAACGCTTACTATGAACAATGAAAACATTAATCACCACCACCTCAGCATTCTATAGCATAACTTTCAAAGAATTCAAATGAGAAATAATGAAAAAAGATAAGCATTTATTGAGCTAAAAATGACCGTGCACCAGACATTTCTAAGTACTTGACATATATTATCACAATCTTGGGTGACAGATGTCACACACCTCAATGATCACTGCAACCCCAGTTAAAATTGGCCAAGCTGAGGCACAGTGGCTGAAGAACTTGCTTAGAGTCTCATAGCTAGGATGTGGAAGAAACGGGATTTGCACCCAGTAAATCTGACTCCAGTGGTTTTCTTGAAAACCATTGTTCATGGCTGATCTCACTTTATCAGCCTTAGGTGATGGGATCTCAGAAATCTAATTCAGTCCCTCACTTTACAAACGAGGACTGAGCATACAGCACAGTTAGAGAGAACTGGGTCTAGCACTGAGCACTTAAAATTTGCATCTTATTTATTTATATATTTATTTATTATTTGTTTGTGTGTGTACCATGGCATCTGTGTGGAGTTCAGAAGACAACCTGCCGGAGTTGGTTCTCTACCCATGTGGGTCCCAGGACTGAACTCAGGTCATCAGGCTTGGGAGCAAATGTCCTTACCCATTGAGCCATCTTGCCGGACCCACTTACTCATTTCTAAAATCTGGGCTACCTTGCTGTTTCGGACACCACAATTAAGCTTTGCTTGGCTTGGTTCTGAGGGTCTTGTGTGTGTATCTGTGCATGTGTCTCTCTTACTATTTCTCTTACATGTTGTCAGCAAGATTACATGTGTACTGGAGAACAGCTCTCCGTAAACAAGCATCTCTCCCTCTCTAAGAGGACACCAAGACAAAGCTATTAAAAACAGGTTTTCTAATTAGGCATGACAGTGCATACCTGTAATCCCAGCACTCAGGAGGCTGAGAAAGAAGATTCTACGAGTTCAAGGCAAAGCCAGGACTACATAGTAAGACCCAATTTCAAAAACAAAACAAAACAAAAACCCAGGTCTGTCTACCTGGGCATCTGTTTACACCCTCTCACTATTCTCACCAACATAAGACCACACCAGAAGAATGACATAGTTTCAGCTTATGGGATGGGTGTGAATGAAAATTAGTAACATTAACAAAATGTTTATCATTTGAAATTTTAAGAAAAGAAATATACCTTTAAACATCAGATTATGAGAAGTCTTATTTCCGTACTTGCTAGTTAGTTTAAATGAAAGCACAACAAGACTTCAGCCTAACGTGTCTATTTTAACTACCAGAGTCCCCCAGAACTCTGTTCTTCTGACAAAACCAGAACAAGGGAACAGTGGTTGTGTGGGTTGATTTCATTTTCAGTAAAATGCTTTCATGGGTCACAGTTCTTAAGGCTGCTTGAAAGGAAAACCCCTTCAGCGGCTGCAGCAGATGAAGTCACTGCTCCACAGGGATTGCAAAGACACCCCGCCAGTCTGGAGGACGAACCACCACAGCCAAGGTGTCTGTGTCTTCGCCATGCTCACAACCTCTTTCCCTGAACTGCAAAAACTTCCACCCAAGCCTCTAACAGAAGTATAGCTTTAACAAGTTGCTGCCGGCTGAACATTATCAGCCAACAGCAATGTCTTCTGCTCCAGGTCCTTCGGGGAAATCATTCTCATGGGTGACAGTGTGTTGTATTGGAAAGTGCATGGACTTTTGGGCCTGACAACTGGGTTTTCAAGCTGCCTCGGGTCCATTTAACACCTGAGCTGTAGGTCTTCATATATAAAATAGGATGATATATACTCTAGCAGAAGGCTGTGGGGACTCAATGAGCTAGTTAGTGCCTGTGACTGATCAGTTCTCACGCTGCATCACTGAAGGGCATCCATTCAAGTCCACCTACAAGGACGAGACGTTATCTTTTATTTATTTATTTTTTCAATGGAGCATCACTGTCTATCTTTTACTGTCTAATTTACAAATCAAAATAAATTTATTTCTTCTTTAACCCAACTCAGAAGGTTGACCTGATCCAAGGAGGAGATGGCATCTCCAGTTCCCAAAAATGTCAGTTTAAGGGTATGTTCCACACAAGTCCAAGCAATGATGGTAGCTGCACAGTACTTGGGAACAGAGAAGGACACTCCTCTGCCTCCACCAGTCCTGTGTGCCTTTGGCAATGTAAATGAAAGCAAAAGTGTGTCCCTGCTTCTGGTGAATTTTTACAGCTTTTAATCAAGTTACAACTTGTAATGGACTGAGAAATGGGGTTGCTAAAAATATCACAGCTAATTTTGCCATTAGACATGTAATAGAAGTGAACCCAGCTCTGAACTCAGGAGCAGTTATCCCATTCTATTTTTTTAATTCATCCATTTACACATCTGCTTAGTGTTTCACAAGATTCTGAACTCTGTAGACAGCTGTTCTGTCTGGTAGAAAAAGGAGGAGGAAGCGGGAGGGATTTACTTACAGTAACTTGGAGACTGATTCCATTTAGGGAGGTTCACGGGGAAATAATCCAAACCCAGCAGAGGTTTAGAGACCAAAGACAATGTGGTCAATAGAAACAGGGATGTTAGAACGGGAACTGGTTTTAGTGGGGAAATGATGACTGGGATATGAGACATGCTGAGTAAGAACCAAGCAGCCCCCCAAGAGGAACCTGTGGGAGTCAGCTAGTCCGCTGAGGGGCAAGGGCTTAGGAGGTGGACTCTCTTAAAGAAATCTATTTTGGTGTCTTTAATCTAAAGACAAGGGGTAAAGCTGACATACAGGACCAGATTTGTACCCTCACACACTAAGCCAGTTAAAAACAAACTATAGCCTGGCCTGGTGGCACAGACCCAGGATCCCAGCCACCAGGGAGTCTGAGACAGGAGGATCTCAATGTCAAGGACTGTCTGGACTACAGAATGAGTTCAAGCTTGGGCAATCATTTAGTGAGACCAGTCTCAATTAAAAAAAAAGGGAGAACAAAAAAAGAGGGGTAGGGACATAGCTCAGGGACAGCGTGTTTGCCTAGCACGTGCAAGGCCCTTCTCCTGGGCTGGGGTAAAGAAGAACTAGACGGGCTCTGCCTTCAGTGCCGCAGCACCTGCAAACACAAGGACTAGCTCGGAGGACCTAACAGAGCCCGGCCTCCCGCACACCCGTTAGCGCTCTTTCCTACCACTTCCCTACCATCTTTTCTATATCCTTCTTTCCTTCGGATCTTCAATCCCTATCGATCCTCCCCCACCCGAGTGTGAGTGAGTGAGTGAGTGTGTGTGTGTGTGTGTGTGTGTGTGTGATGTTTGGATGTGTGCAGATGTGCCAACAGTCAGCAACAGGTCTCTCCTAAATTGCTCTCCACAGTATTTTTTGAGACAGTCCCGTCACTGAACCTGGAACTTCCTGATTGGCAAGGCTGACTGGTCACAAGCCCCAGGGATCCTCTGGTTTCTGCTTCCCCAGTGTTGAGCTCACAGGCTTGCAGCTGCACTGGCTGTTTGTGAGGGTGCTGCAGATCAGAACGCTGGTCTTCAAGCTTATGCAATCAAGCACCTAACTGACTGAGCCAACTTCCCAGCCCCTTATGCCTTGTTAAAGCAATTTATCCTCCCTTTCCTTTCTGCCCTTCCCCCATCTCCCAGGCTCCACACAAGGTCTCATGCTTTTAAATGCCCACTAGTGCTCAGGGCGCAGAGGCAGTCCTTTTTTTTTTTTTTTTTTTTTTTGGTCTGTAAACGTCATCATCTTGTGCTCACTAATTTTTCTTTCTAGTTTCTATTAAATGTACTGACAATTGTGAGTTATAATCTTTGTGGCTCTAACAGTTAAGATTACCTTTAACAACAGAAAGGCACATTTAGAGGGGAAGCTCTGGCTTTGCACTCAACACACCAAGTTTGGATGTACTTTTGAAGG